CCCCCCCCCCCCCCCCCCCCCCGTAAAAGAGAGAGATCCAAGACAGGGTTCACTGTCTTACCTATTTCTTCCCTCTTGTTGTAGTAGCTGTGCACCTCCACAAGTACTGATTTTTATTCTCACAAACTGACCATGAAATAGAAAATTAGTACCCCTACTTCACAGAAGGGAAAACAGAGGCACAGAGAAAGAAAATGACTTGCAGAAGATCTCATAAGAAGCTTGTGGCCAAAGCAGGCATCGGAATATAGTTAAGTCTTTTTCTACTGTTTTACATACAAAACCCTCCCTCCTCTTCACTTCCTCTCCACCAACAGGACAAGCAGGAGAGCTGAGGACTTAAAGCTAGTGGAGAGGGGGAGACCGCTGGCTTTCTTCTCACCAGTGTAAACTGGGGTAGCTGTTGAAATCAGTGGTGCTAATCTAGTGTCAAACTGGTGACAAGATGGAGGGGGGGAAGTGAAGCCATTTAAGTTGGATTTCATCACATGGAATATCTGTTAAAAGGCAGAAAGGGTCAGATTTTCAGAAGAATTCATTCAGGCACTGAAATGAAATGATCAAGCTTTCAGAAATGGGTGGCACTCAGCAGCTCTTAGCAAGAGGCATAGGAAGAGTCGAATGCTTGAAAATCTGGCCCCAAACTTGCAAGGTCAACAACAGATGCAATCTGCCTGCCTGCCTTAAAACCCAAAACCAAACAAAACAAAGCAAGAGTGAAGCATTTGAATGGGGAAGGGTGGGGGGAAAGCTTGTGGGATATGGCTGCAGAGTCAGCATCAGGAAATGGATGTAGCTGGGCTTCTTTCCTTCCCTAAAATTTCCTGTACTCTAATCACTGCACCAGCTTGGTGAATTGGTTTGGGAAGGAGCTGAGGGTGCTGCTGACTTCACAGTAGCTCCTGGCTCGGACTAATTTAGTCAGTCAGGAGGAGTCCTAGGTGGAGGCAAGCCCTTTGGAGTGATTGATTTTTGTTGCAGATGGATCATATGCCATATCCATGTTTGAGCAATGCAATCTCTTCTGAATCCCAAATGCAGGGCTTGAATGATTCACCGACAGGCTCAACCCCCTCTAGGGTAATGCTGCACTCTGACAAAGGAGGTGCTCAGCTTTCCAGACTTTGCTCTGATTTCTTCCTTCTTTTTTGGGTTTGGCTAAACCTGGATTTTGTCCTCAAAATCCAGACTGCTACTCTAGGAATGTAGGAAGTGTTGCTTGTTAGACTGAAAGAGAAATGCTGCACATTTAACAAAGGAAATCCCTGGGGCAGGGGGCTCTCAGGTCTCCGTAGCAGTCTAGATGGTGTGGGCGATCCACTTCTCCTCAATGCTTTGAGGAAGATTAAAGCATAAGTAGAACTCCATGGATATCAGTGGATTACAAATCCCTTTGGAGAGTTTTACAAAACTGCCCAGGGGATTTAGGAGTACGCATCCCACTGACTTTCAAAAGACGCTTGTGCTTTAATTCCTTTAGATGCTTTTGAAACTCTCCTCCCTAACCTTTTAGAGCATGTCTACACGTGCACTTCAATGCACAGTAGCCTATTTTACTGTGCATTAGAGCATCTCATAAAAAACATGCAAATATGCTAATGTGCAGTAAAATAGGTTACTGCGCATTAAGTATCACTTAGAAGCTTGCACTTTCGCCATTGTGCATTAGGGCAGCCTGATGTGCATTTATTTAATACCTCACATTTGAGGTACTAAGTTTAACATGCATTAGGAAAATGCATTAATGCACATGTAAATGTGCCTTTGTTGTCTTTTGGGGGAAAAGGAAGTTTTTCCACTGCCTTGGACCTTGTTGCCTCCTTTCTCTGGCAAAGATTCTTGGCTACAGACTCTCCTGAACATTTCTAAAGGTAGCAAAGCCATGAAAAGTTTGAAGGAAGGAAGCTATCACTCATGAGACATTTCCCATTCCATTTCAGGGATTTCCTGCCTCGTGGATCTGGCATTGTCACGAGACGCCCACTGGTCCTGCAGCTGGTAAACTCCAACACAGGTATGTGAGTCACCTCCTTTCCCACCCCAACCTCAGCACATCGCTCATAGAGATGGAGCAAGGTCCAGCCTTCCATCTCTGCAGCAATCTAAAGCCATTAACTTTTACTTCACTACTATGTCCAAGAGGGAAAGAGAGTCATTTTCAGCACTTCTAATACATATTATGAATGATCTCTAGAAATATTACCAGAGTATGTGGAATGTCTTGTGCTCTTTGGATGGACTGCATGAGACAGTTTAGGAGTGATCAGTCCATTTTCTGGGTCTGCTTTACAAAACCTGCTGTCTTAGCTGCCAGGAACTGACAAATGTGTTGGTAATTTCAAGAGAGTGCCCAGGGACTGGATAGCCAGACTTCTCTCTCAGGTCCAAAAATTATCCTTCCCCCTTAAACTAGAGATTTGCTGGCAGAAACTTGACCTGATGCTCTCTGCGTTTATAACTTTCTGTGGATGAGCAGAAGATACTGTTTTCCAAAGTGGGTGATGCATCAGTTGTTGCCTGCACTGAACTTGGAAATAGCCAGATGTCAATGCTCACACTCAGTGTGAGTGCTGCTTAGTCCAGGAACAATCCTGCTGAAATGAGTTGGTAAGACTCTGTGGGAAAGAATGAATTGGAATTTGTCCCAAGAAATAGTGCTACATTTAGCCAGTTTTCACATTGCTCTATGTAAAATCTATCGGGTATTAAATGTTCAGGGACATAGTGATTCATGTCACTGTGTATGTGGACTTTAGTAGGCAAAGTTTCACAAAATGCCTTTAGGCTTTCCCTTGTCAATAGTCATGATTTTGTTGTGTGGACGGGACCTAGAAAAAGACTGAGGGACCCTTCCAATATCATTTTAATTGGAATTACGGCTATTATAATAATTCTAATTTGTTGAGACCAGGTATCAGAGCATCAATTATGGAAAAAAAGATGAACAGTTAGAAAATCCAGTGGTTCTGGTTTGTGATGTGTTTGTTAGTGTCAGTGGTGGGAAGACCTAGGCAGGACTTAGGCTTTGGCATGAACATCTATCGGTTTCCCAAGTCTGTGTCACTGGGAGAAGATGCCTCTGATCGGTTAGGTGTTCAGCTTGGTATTGCACACACAGTCAACTTCTCTAGACCTTAGTGACTGCTCAGCTAATGACTTTCATCTGCATGCATTTACAAGTTCTTGGCATGAGTGGCCTAGGAAACAGGTAATGGGATAGGCTGGGAGACTTTCACATCCAAATACAGGTGGGTAGTGACCAAAACCTTCGTGATGGAGATCCCACAATTTTCCTAAATGGCCTATTCCGAGGTAGTCTTATAGTAAAACATTTCGCCCCCTAAAATCTACCTTGATTTACAAATTAATCTTATTGTTTCTTGTCCTGTCTGCAGTGGACGTGGAGAAAAAAATTTCTTTAGTTGTCTTTGTAACATCCTTTCACATACTGAAAGACTGCTGTCATGTTCTCCTCTTTAACCTTTTCTTTCTTGGATTGAAATGCAATTCTTTCAACATATCCTCAAAGGTCATGTTTTCTGAACACCTTATTCTTGTTGCTTTCCTACAAACCCTCTTTAATTTGTTTACATATTTCTTGTAGTATTGGACCTCCAACTGTACCCAGTACTTCAGCCTTATCAGTGCCAAATAGTTATTCTGCTCTATCCCCTGTGACTTCGGTACAACACTGCCATTAATTGCAGATTGGTATTTGCATTTTTCCAGCATCCCATTACTGACTTCTGTTCATTTTGCAATCCACTATAACCCCTAGTTCCTTTTTGGCAATGCTGCTGTCTAATCAGTTATTTGCCATTTTGTATTTGTGCATCTGACTTTTTTTTTTTCTTCCTGAGTATCTTCCCAGTTGACAGCAAACTACTCTCCACAGGAAGTTTTCAAACCAGTTCTAGTCCCACTATACAATGATGTTTTTTTTTCTAGAACATATTTCTGTAGCTTGCTTTTGAGTGCATCGTGTAAGATGGTATCAGAATCTAACCTCAAGTCAAGATGTATTGCATTTCCTTCCACCCTTTTGTCTGTTAGGCCAGTTATCCTGTCAAAGAAGGAAATCAGATTGTTTGACACAGCCTTGTTCTTAACACTGTGGTTTTCAGTCTATGGTCCCTGGACATCTGGGGGGTCTGTAGACTATGTCTAAGGGATCCATGAAAGATGACTATGATCAGTCAAATATGTGAATACACTTACAATTCAAAGGGGTCCACACCTTTGTTTGCAATTTTTTAGGGTCCTCAAATTAAAAAAATGTTGAAAACCACTGTCTTAACAAATCTGTGTTGTCTGCTTGTTTTGTTTTATGTGTTTGTTTATAATTTTTAGGTGCCTATAAGCTGATTGCTTGGGTTGTTGTTTGGTTTTTTTTTAAGTTTCTCTTTCCAGGTATCAATCAAACTAACTGCTCCATCATTCCCCAGGTCCTCCTTTTCCCTCTTTTTAAAAAGAGGTAATATATTCCTCCTCCTCACCCCTTGCTGGTCCTCTTGGACATCACCTACTCCTGTGAGGTCTCAAAGATAATCACTAATAGTTCAGAGATTGCTTCAGCTAGTTCTGTAAGTTCCCTAGGGTGGATTTCAACAGGCCCTGCCAGCATGAACGTTCCCATCTTAGTTAAGAATTCCTTAAACTGTTCTTTCTTTAATTTGGCCTGTGATTCTCTTCGCTTGTTAAACTTTAATTGCATCATGTACCTGGGCATAATTTACCTTTTTTTTTTGTAGACACCTAAAGCAAAGAAGGCCCTGAATATTTCACCCTGTTGTACATAATCTGTTATTTGCTCTCCTTTCCTATCAAGTAGTGGATCTATACTTTCCTTTGTCTTCCTCTTCCTTCTAATGTATTTTTAGAACCTTCTTGCAATGCTTGTACCCCTTGCTAGTTGTAACTCATTTTGCCCCTTAGCCATATGAATTTATTCCTACTGTTCCTCTAAACTCACCTTTACTCAAGTCTCCTAGCATCAAGTTTTTGTTTTATTTTTATTTTTTTTTTTTCTTTTTTTAATTTTCAGGTCCTTAAAGAATTCCTGATGCAGCCATATAGGGCTCTTGCCATGCTTTTTACCTCTCTTTTGCATCAGGATAGTCTGACATTATGCCTTAATATAGTTTCCTTTAGTAAGTGCCAGATCTCCTGCACTCCTTTATATTCTCTTCTCAGGAGACCCTATCTGCTAGCTCCTCTGTTTGTTGATATCTTCTTTTTTGAAGTCCCTTACCCTTACTCTGCTGCTTTTACTCCTCCTTTCTCTTACAGTGGGGAAACTCAATCATTTCACAATCACTTTCATCTAGATTATCTTTCATCTTCAAATTTTTCAATCATTTCGTCCCTGTTACTCAGAAATAGATCAAAAAAAAAAAGCTCTTCCCCTAAGAATTTCCTCTAGTTTCTGAAACAGAGTTATCCTATATCCATTCTAGGAACTTGATGGATATCAT